ATGTACTAAAGCTAATTTTACAATTATTGTTCTACATTAAGAAATTAATCTTTAAGTATACAAAATGTTAATTTAATCTTAAAAAATAATCGTTTACCTACACAACTATATATTGAATATTGATGTCATTAAAAATAAATAGGTAGTGGTTCAATGGAATGATACAATGTGAAAATTAGATACATTACATTCAAATAAAATATCTATTAATTATGAACTAATTGATGTATTTTTTTGCAATCAGGATAATTTGTTTTATAATTATTTACAACTTGTAATAGAAATTGTTTTTGATTTTCGTCTTTTGTCAGTATACTATTGTATTCTTGAATTAACTAAACTTAATACCTCTTTCTGCAACATCATTTATGACTGATAACTCTGTTAAAATATTAATTCCTTTTTTATGCCTAGTTTTCTCTTTCTTTCCAACTATCAGGGTGGAAATCTATGAAGTCGGCTGAAATTTTAAATCTTGAAAAAAATTTGACTGTTTCTGTAACAGTTTCCCTAACCCCTGGATACGCCACTGAACATAAGTGTCCACAAAATTTATGTGTAGCTGTTTTAGAAAAAGCTTTATCTGAGTATTCAATTAATTTTTTTAAAATTATCATTTTAAGGTACTACAATTTCAGCAGGGCATTTAAACCATGCTTCTACGAATATCGTAACTAGAAAAATACATATATCTCAAAGCATAAATGCTATACGGCATCGCGATTTATGAACATTGAATAATGAACAGAACACTGAACAGTACATAAATAGACAATAATGCACGAAGTGACAGTGTGTAATAGAGATTGGTGTGATATTTGAATTATTCGGATCCCCGGATATTAAAATCCGGATTTGCCGAAGTATCCGGATTATCCGGATTTATGAATTTGCTTTATCATCCGAAATATCAGAAAAAAATATATTAAAAAAATTACCTTACCTACAAATTTAATAGTTATTTCAAAATTTCACATGAAACTTGCAAATAAAATATTTAAATATATTATATTATATAATAAATAATATTATACTATTTATCAGCATTTTACATTTTTCATTTTTTCAAAACGCTTAGAATTTTTTTATGAATTGCTTTTGATTTTTGTAAATAAAAAAATATATTAGTAAATTTTAATAAAGCCATATAAATACTTAGGCAATTGTTTTTAATGTTAAGTATGATATACTTACGTTCAAAAATTATGTAATACAATTAAATTTATGTAAATATAAAAATGAGTAATTGAACAGAAAAATTGAATTGAATAATCCGAACTATCCGGATATGCCCATCATTAGTGTGTAATAACTGAATTAGAAAAGCTCGATAAAAAAAAAATACTAATACTATTAGATTTGAATTTAATATTATTTTGGTAATCGAGAAATAACAAGATTATTTACTGTGTAGAAATACCCAAAACAATATCAAACAGATAAAGATATAATTTAATGTTCAGGTTTGTTATACTCTCGTAATAGAGATATAGGTACCTACTCGTATTATAACAGAGTTTGAAAAAATGATAAGGACATATATCGACAGATTTTATAGAAAATAATTGATTTACGATTAATTTTGTCTGAACGTTTTTTATAGAGAGTACCTGAATCTATACAATTTTATGTTAAATGTAATATATAATGAATTAAATCAGAATAACCCTAAAACAACCTTATTTATCAATATTTAACCCTCTTACGGCACCTGAAAGGGGTTATTAAACATTACAAAATTTAACCCACATATTTTTCGTATGATAATGAATAAATTGGGTGACTGAGAAATTAAAAATTCGAAAGTTCATAAATAAGGGCCACTCTAATATATTTATATACGATATTATATAGAATTTTTAAATGTGAAGAAATAAAACGATTCCCATGACGTTAAAGGATTTTTTCAAGATAGATTAATTTTAGTCAGAATTTTTACACAAAGAACATTTAAATACCCCGTGTTAAAATCTCTTCACATTGAATCATTCGATTAAAAATATTCTTGTAAATTTCATGTTGTAACAAACAAACGATAATTTTTTCATGCTATCAAACTTGAAAAATTTTTAAAATATTTTGTTTCACAATCCCAAGTCAATTTTACAAAATATAAATAATGCTTTATCAGAATACGAAAAAATGTATTTAGAACTTAATATATAGTATACTTTCATAATTATGGTGTGTTATCAGTGTGTAATCATATGTAAATTAATCATTTAAGTTAAAAGTTAAATTTACTTTTTCCATTTTATAGTATTGATAGTATAAATAATCAATTAACCAAATAATTTTTCCGAAATCGTAACGTCATATTAGCATGTTTATACAATGTACAAAAATAACAATGAGAATTTCCTATAACTAGATACACATTTTTCATAAAATTCAATGGGTATTTTATGATTTTAGATCCTGAGGGTTAATTAATTGGACAATGATTTTACAGATTTTTATAATGATTTTATAATGATTTTAAGAATTACTAAAAATTAACTACTATATTTTATTACCATTTTAGTTTTGTGAGGATTATGTTTATTAATTAAACTTGAATCACATTTTATAATTCATGATGAAAAATTATTTTGATAAAAAGCTTCGACAATAAAAGTATATTTGGAAAAGTTAATTTTAACACAAAACAGGTAGGACCCTTGCAGAATTTCGAAGAATTAAAAATTGAAATGTAAAAAAATAAATTTAAATGTAAATGTAATTTAATTTTGTACGTACAACATTCAAATTTAATATTACCAACAAAAAAGTTCAGGAGACAAATGAATATGCATTCAAAATCATGTTAGTTGTTATTTAAAAATAAAATATTAATTACAGTATATAATATTTCTATTTTATAGTTCAAATAAATTTATAAGTAAAGTCAATAATTTTAGTGCTTATAAGACATCATGTGCATAAATTAATATATTAAGTAGCGTACAATTTACAAACTTTAAAAGTTGCGAAATTAATATTTTATGTTATTTTTTATTTCAAATAATACATTTAGTATTATTAAATCGATAAGTATTTTTTGGTAGAGCTTGTTTATATATATATATAATATATCTTATGTACTACTAAAATATGCAAATATAAATAATACATTTTTAGGAATTACACTGCTCTTTCATGATTCACAGTTTCTTGAGGTTTATCTTTAGAATAAAAATGTAAACTTAGTAAATATGCATGTGTTTCGTGTATTATTGAAAAAGCTTGTAATATGTAAATAACATGTTTTCATCATTGATTGTACAAAAATAAAAATATATGTGCGTAACACTATGGAGTTTTCCATAATTTCAATTGAATTTAAAATAAAATAAATAAAATAGGTCTTAGCGGTTATAGAGGTTTTTTTTACATAAAAGAAGGATCACTATATTCCAGTATAAGTCTCGACTAAATTATTAGATAAGCATGCAGTGGTTCAACATTAGATATTTATTTTTAGTTTTAAAATACATATACACATACAATCATAGATATGCCGTAATAATTTAAGTATGACTTACAGTGATATTTTTAATAATGATGGATCGTTATTAAAAAATAAGATGATCTCTAATCATATCTTATAAATAATATTCAACTATTTTATCATACGATTTAAAGTTAAAAACGAAGTGTATGCTTTTAAATAGTCCAAATAATTAAGAATGAATTAATTATTTGTTGTTTAAGGTTTATATATATATACTTATATAACTGTTAGTAAGTATATTGTAATTTAAGACTATTTTAACGTACCTTTAAATAAATTTTGTCTACTAATTAAACTAACAATAAGTATTTATTTAAATATGGACTTAAGCTTCCAGGGAACAATAAACATACATTATCAAAAATAAATTATATACTAATATAAAGCGAATTGCTTTGTTAACAACAAAATATACCTAAAAACGTGAAGTAAACTTAAAAATAATTATAATATAAATAATAGTCTGATAATATGTAAAGTAGTATAGTAATTCCTATGTGACAATCGTTTATTTAGTATAGGACAGAAAGACTAAGCCAGTTAAAGCTATACGATGGATAATATGTATTTTAGGTGTGGTGAATACTTGGTAACCCATAGTATAAACTATGTTGACGGTCTTTCCGCTCTATACAACTATAAATCGATAGACAATATAGTCAGAAAACCTTCGGAAAATGTTACTCGTGGATATTTATTGGTAAATAAGTAGATCGTAATGAAAATTTTTTAAATTTTTTTATTATTAAAATTAATATACTGCTCACATTAGAGAAAAGTCAAATATAAGCCAATTTGTTTTATACAGCATTAAGTTTATCATGTTTATTATTCTTTTCTTGTGAAATTTAATTGAACATTTAAGTAAACACAAATTGTTTTGTAAGGACCTTCTGTGTAGATTTAATGATGAAAAATCTTAGACCGTAAAAATTTGAAAAAAATATTTGATTAATATTTAAATAAAAGTTTAGTTTATTTTCAAAAAAATGTGGATTTTCACAAAAAAAAAAAAAAATGTTTTATATCCAATATTTATCTAGAATCGTATAGAATAAATAACTCCATATTTTTTAAAAAAAATTGTAAGAGATTTTCGATGTTCCCTGTTACAATATGTTAAAAGAAACATAAATCATTTTATAAATATAGAAAATAATTTTCGTTGTTCGTATCTGGAAACAATGCTGTTGATAAGATTGAGATTTCTCATTTCTTCGTTCTTGCGTAAGATAATAAATTACAATTTGAAAAACTAATAATAATATTAAAGATAATGGTGTTTAGATTTTTAAATCTTCAATATTTTTTGGTTCAAATTATATTTTCCTCCAATTTTTTTTTTTTTTTTTTAATCAAATACAACATTTATAATAATTTGTAAAACTAATTTATTCATTAATGCCATGAGAACTTTAATCAACACATTTGCAGCATTTTTACCACAACATAGTCAATATTCATAGAATATAATTTATATAACGTTCTTATTGTATTTTTTTTTCAGCTAATGTATACCGAGTAGAGTAATTGATGTACGAAAAGCGGTTTGGTTTCAATTTCAAAATGACTACGGAAAGTCCTACAGGAATTACTGCAGAATTTCAAAATAATTTACGATCAGAATGCGAACGTAAACTAAACGAAACAGTTCGCAGTGCATATTTAAGTAAGTTATACAAACTTAACCAAATACAAATACACGTATAACATGCGTGTATTTATAGGCATGATCAAGGCCTGAAAAAATCATGCATCATTTCTCATTAAAAAGTCTGTTAAAACTACACTATCGATTTTTTCTCATAACCTGAAAAACTTATTGTTCATAATTATTGGTTATTTTTAATGTACCTATATATTTTTAATATATCAGTTTATGCCTACGCTAACTATGAGGAGTAAGTAATTAACGAACAAGGAAGTTTGAGAGCATTTCTTTGGTTTTTTTTTTTTTTTGATATTATAGACTTTAAGTTTTTATTGATAATATAATAATATATTATTTGAATTAACCGATTATTTAATGGTGTTTTTTCATACTTAATTGATTAACATTTGTGTGATTTAAAATTAACATATTAACAAATAACATACGAATAAGTATTTATGGATTTTAATTCTAATAATTATTAATATCACTGTGAATTATTATTATCTATTAAACAATATAAATATATGGCTTTTATAGGTACCTCGGATAGTTATCAGTCACCCAATACGAAGTAAATCCAAGATATTATAATTGCTATAATTTTAAATCAAAATAATTGTTCAACTAAATATTTAATAATCTCTAATATATTTGATACTGATAAAAATAAATAAAAATATTTTTTATTATATTTTTGAATGAATTAATTATTAGTAAAAACTATTACAGCGACATTAATACATGGACAAGTGCAAGTGCAAATGGCACGCTTTATAATGATTGGGAATACTTTCTACAATTAAGGTACGCGAACGAAAAACGCACAAAAAGCGAGTGGTACGTTATTAAAGACACAATGGAAATTATCGTATTATTGTCATGGTGGTAGCGAATAAACTGAAATACAAATACATTTTTTTTATTTTTACATTTTGATTTTTTTTTTAGTATCTTATAATTATGATATTTTTTTGTTTATAGTTTATAAAAGCGTGATACTAGAAATGTTGATCTATAAAGCTAATTATTGATTTACCCGAAACGTTATAACTATGTAGTTCTTATGAGAAAAACTTATAATAATTATGATGTTTATTTTTAAACTTTAAGTAAAAATTATTCTTTAAATATTTTCAGTTCAAAACTCGGCGTTTACATTAACCAACTAAAATAAAGTTTATTACAATATATTACTTTTGAATAAAACTGTCCACATAATAAATTACGATATTATATTATAGGTGACAGGTGTACATACTGATATTCAATATGGTATATTTTTTTATTTTTATTATAACTATAAAAGAGGAAAAATAAATTTAATATTCAGTATAAAAAATGTATTTTCTTATTAAAATATCTTTTATATTATATATTTATAGTTAATAATGCTGTCAATTTGATATGATCTCTTTATTTTATAGTTGAATATAATTATTGAATATTACTTTCAAAATTTATTATTTATTTATAAGTGTTAATTTATTTTCATTACGTACAGAAAATTTAATAGGTGCCTTCACGAATACACAATCATTTAGAAATTGCTTGAAGTCTTTCTGAATCTTTATAAATTATGATTTTAACCCTAACCTATAAATATGCCTGAAATTTCATTTACGATAAAAATGTTAGATAAAATATTTATATATTTTTTGAGTAAATATTTTACAACCATTGTTCGCTGTTACTTTCAACCGGAAAATTATAAAAATGTATTTGAAACTGTAATATTTACATAATTTAGAACTATGAAAATGTATTTATACTTATTTTTTGTTATTATTTTAATCAAATTATTGTTTAGAAGATTATAATTATATTGCAGTTAAAAATAAATAAATTTTATCACAAACTAATATATATTATATTTTTAATTTTTTTTAATAATTTCGTGCAGTAGTTGTTCATTCAGGTCGCTTGTTCGTCTTGAAGACTAGTATACGGTGAATTAGAAATTTTCAAGAAACGCGATAAATGGTCTTAACGGGCGTGGTTTGAAAGGGTGAAATTTAATATGCACGTTATTGCGTGTATATTCAACATGACTAGGTTTGTAATTGTTTGGAAAGTCGACGCAGACAATCAAATTTGGCTGAAGAGTTTAAAGACAAATGCACAATGAGCTCATGCGATGATTAATTTTTGAACATGATAAAATCTGAACACCGAATTATGTATGGATAAGAAGTGCAATGAAGTTTCCTAAATTAAACAAACCCATGTACGTAGGTTACGGATACATAACTAAGTGGCCATTATCAGGTTATTATTTTCTATTAATACCTGTTACCAGTGGTTTAGTGAACATTTATAAGCCATGATGCACAACATATAGTTCAGTATCTACCCACCCACCTCTTTCTCAAGCTCTAACCTTGAAATTTTTCGAAAACATAAATAATTGAAGAAACACTAAAATCTATTAAAGATTAATCACCTACCTACTGATATTTTACAAACTCAAACTTAGTATTAACAAATTCTAAGAGAAGTTTTCCTCTTTCATGTTATAATTTACTTTTGATTTGCCATAAATGACAATTTACTAATTTAAATGTACCTACCTATTTATAAGAAAAAATAAACACTATGTCATTGACAGATATTAATGCTTTAATGGCTTATTTTAATATTTTTATATCATTCATTTCTGCATGCAGTTGTGATGTGTAACGATCACACACACCTACTACCATCCGCTATGCCGCGCCACCGGTATCTCATGACGTCACGCATCGACCCGTCGATCCCACACTGCGACGACGGTAGATAGCGCTGGCGCGATGTAATATTAAAAAACATAAAATTCTTAATACAATTAATAAACTTTCAACTTTCTTTAACAGTAAATAAATAGTAAAATTCAGAAACGCCTACAGTGCACAATAAATTAATATCTCCAAAAGCAATATACATTAATCTACCAAAAACTTATTAAATGAAATATGTACCTTTTACTCACTCTGGAAATCAAATCAATAAACACCAAATACACATATATATGAGATTGACAGACCAATTCGTTTCATCATTCTGACCGAATATCGGTTGTGAGATATTATTAAAGGTTCAGAATCCTGGGTACGGCCATAAAACCCCATCTGTCGGACTGCCTGGCCTAAAAGTATCTCCCCACCGTTGTCAGCGTTCCCCACTAAAATAATCTGAGTTTTCATTGACATTTCGGCGCGTAAATCATTTTCTTTGTTAATTTAAAACTGCGTGAGTAAGTAAATAGTCCGGTGTGGCCGTAATACCCCACACCTTTGACTATTTTATTTTTCATTGTTATAGGGCTCCGTAATACACTCGTGTCCCCTTTTACGCCGCAACATTTAATAATTTAAATTATCGTTTTACTTCAAAATGCTACAGAGCCGTAAATTATAAACATATTAAATATTACTTATTATGTTAAATTTTATATTTTGTTAAATCTTATGTTATGTTAAATGTTATGTTATATTTTATTATGTATTTATACATATATCTTTATACATTCTTGTAAAACAATTATGCTTATAAATAAACTTATTTTGTAATGATAAAACTCGACGTATTCAGTTCATTACAGATGGTAAATTAAAACTGGAAATTAACTCATTAAAACATTTAGCAAAAGTTTTGTATTCATTTTTAAATTGTTCTATATTAAGGTTTTGTATCCATGTTCCTAATTTATTAAAAGAATCACTTGGTAGTGTTTTATTTTTATTACTATAAAATGCTATTCTTTCTGGAGATAATAAGGCTAAATCTTTCATTATTTCGTGAGAATCATTAAATCTTGTATGGATAGAAGTAATGATTTCATCCAATACTTTAAAATAAGTGTCACATTTATACTTATTTTTCGAAGAAGATAATACTTCATCAACACTGTTTTCACCATGCATCTTCTTTTTACTTCTTCTTCTAATCTCTTTAAAATTTGAATAATAAAGAGTATTATTTTCAGAAAATTGCTTTGCTTCGCTTAGTAATTTTTCGTATTCAACATCACTCTTTTTCTGAGTTAATTGTTTTATGCATGTTTCCATTAAATTTATAGCTTATATAAAGTCTAAGGATTTTGATTGGAGATAATTTGAAAGAGGTGTAGTAATACCAAACATATATTTTTCATAAAAATCATATTTAAAATAAAATCAAATGAGGTTATTATTTTTAAAAAGTTTTTAGTTCCAGCAAATGTGATTCTATCTTCAGAGTTTGATAGTTTGTAAAGTGAATCCAGTAAGTATCAAATTTAGAATTTACACCAATAACACGACCATGTGATGTCCACCTTGTGTCTGAAAAACTTTTCATTGATCTTACACGCTCAGGAGATTGAAGAAGCTTTTGTGATTTTATAAATTTAGCAGTTCTTTTTCTTGTTCTCGTAAAATTAATTAATGATTGAAGATCACCAAAGACATTTTTAGTATTTGTACTACAATCGACAGTGTCTACAATTACTAAATTAACTCTATGAGCAATACACCAAACATATAAAGCTTTCTCATTTTCATTTTGAATTAATGTTTTTAATCCTTTATATTGTCCCTGTATTGAAGCAGCACCATCGTAAAATTGTGCGTACAAATATTCTTTCCAATTAATGTTATATTGTTCCATTATTTTTTTAAATACATTAAAAATCCCTCTACCTAAATTATCATTGGCAGTTTCCAAAGCAATTAATCTTTTCTTGATTTTTCCCATATAGACATACCTCAACACAAATACTACTTGTTCTAGACTCGACAAATCAGTATTAGTGTCAATAATTATAGAAAACATTTTAGATTGCTTATCTCCTTCTAATATTATTGAGCAAACATACTGCTTCATAATATCTAATAACTTGTTTTAGTTTACATTCGATAAAAAAGATAACCGATTTTTTGAAACATTTTTTATTTTTTCAAGGCGTAAATTTAATACTGGATAATATTTTCCCATTAAATTTATAAGCTCAAGAAAATTGCTTCGATTATTTGATAATTTGTGCTCATTATGGCCTCGAA